TGAGAGCTCTCGAGGATAGTAGTCATCAGGTGACGTTTCCAGCAGATCTTGATTACTAGAAGGACCTGATTTATACGTCGAGAAGTTGACCGCCTCCTTGAACATGGCTTCCTCGAGTCCCGGGACCATCAACACCACAATCTTCCGGAAATTCGGTCGATGGGAGACTGAGACCCAGTTGGGACCAGTACCATCGGCGAAGATGTAGAGAACGAGGTCGCGCAGCATTGCTAGGTTGATCTTGCCGAAGATCTTGGCGCTCGTGGAGAACTTGATTGAGGGATAGTTATTGGAGCCTTCGCGGGGGATCTTCTTGCGCTTCTTGTTCGATCGTTCGACCTTCTCCCATCCTTCGTCATCATCGTCCGGGGCAGATCTTTTAAGGTTTTCGCTGCTTTGGGTCTGGGATGAGCTCTCGCGGGTCGTAACATTGCTGGTTTCTGTCGGCTTGTCGACGGCAGGGTCGACTGTCGCGACGGCGGGCTGGGCGTTGATGTCGGCCATGGCTTCATCTGCGAATTGCGCACTCCAGGGCTGACTATTTTTCTTCTTGCCCATGATAAGCAACCTCCAAAAAGCTGAGTTGGAGATGTGGTGAGGTTACAACGCGCCTCTGAGAAAGTGGTGGGGTTGAAGATGGAGGATTATTTTCGCACCTTCACCGGGAGCCCAGAAAATGTCCATCCAACTTTCTGTCAATCGAGCGACGCAACTTTAATTACGGGTCCCTTGCGGGGAGAGCCAATGGGACACGATAAAGATAAGATAAGGACACAGGGCCTGCGGTCACAGCTAGGGACCCTGGTCAACGCTGGGAGGCAGGGACACTGGAGGGACATCTTCAATGGCACCTACCTTTATGGCCAGTGCCTTCGTCCCTGTCGCAACACGCAACTAAAACAATTCACTCCCCGCGTCAACATCAGCGGCGCCATAATTTTCATTTCCATCCTTTGTTTGGATTCATCATCTTGATTGCGCCAGAGTCTCTGCCTTCTATCACATCGTTCACCAGCGAGCATCTTCATTAGCACCTGCACATCACGAGCCAACTGCACGTTACGCTATGTGACAAGATGGACACTGTTCAGTGCAGATGTAAGAATTGCCAGGCGAACTTGGCCAAGTTTGCCAACTTGTGGACTCAAATCGGGAAGTCATATTTCAGTCCGGTCCTAGAAGCCAAAGGCGACGTTAAAATAGTCGATGTTGAGCCCATCAGAGAGGGGGAGCCACAAACGTTGGTGGCTGAATGGTGCGGTAGTTTATTTCTCAAGCAAGAATCAAGCCTGGAGCGCTAACTGCTTGTGCAGCGAATTAAAGGACATCGCATGCGCGAAATGCCAACAAGTTATTGGAATCAAATGTTTGAGCAGTCCGGTGAACCATGTTTTCGACGAGTAAGTTCAGCAGATCCCCAAAGTAGCTCATTCTCACTGTTGTTAGCTCGCAAATTCTTCTACGGCAAAACTCAGTCCTATTTCTTGACAGAAAAAGCAATCCGTCAGAATTGAGGGTGCGCCGTACGCTGGATCTGAAACCACCAGAAGCCAGCCGACAAGGCTACTGTCACGACTCCGGCTTGAGCGACGGGCATGCCTCGATTGCTTCTGAATCCATCGACCTGCTTGACATACAAGCCGATCTTGAAACGCAGCGCGAGGATATTGAGAGGATTGACACTGCAGGGTACCAGGTGGTATCTCAATTCAATGATACCATAACTCGGATTGACCGCGAGGTCAAGAAGCTCAACGGGACCATGATGAATCTGCGTCGAGACATCGACAACCATGCAGCGGACATGTTTACTGTCAAGAAAGACGTGGTGAGTATGAGACAGTCTCTCCGCCAAGACTCTCTTACATCGCCATTGCACACTAAGCTTCAGACAGCAAGCGCTGCCGTTGCAGAGATCGGAAAGCTTTGTCAGGATGCAAAAGTTGAAACAGAGAAGCTCAATCAAGAAGTCCATACTACAAAATATCAGCTACAACAACTGGAGAACGCCTCGTCAAATCTTCGCCAGGAGCTTGCAAGTGCAAGGAAAGCTACAAAGGATGCACTTGGTATCGCCAAGGACACCGCCAAAGAAACGGCGAATATACGGATGGAGTTGGCCGAATTGAAAGAAAGTCTGGAGACTCACCACAGGAAGCACGACCCGAAACCGGAGTTCTTGATGCCGAGAGAACTGGACATCCTCGCCAGTAATATCACGAAAATTGGAAACAGAGCAAACCAAGTGGAGTCGTTGCAGATGGAACTTGACCTCTTCAAAAGCCGGGTCCAGCGGTTAGAAGCCAGCGTCGAGACTTCTATGCGGGGAAGGGATAACCGCCCGCCCAAATCAGTCTCTCCAAAGACCTACCCTGACGCATTGGGGATTGCAGACAGCCCGGTCAAGACAACAACGTTGCAGCAGGAGGTCCAGATACCAAGTCAGTTGACCGAGGAGCCAATGCCAAAGGCTACTCAACCTCGAGCTCGCAAAAGACGAGCAGCTCCCGAGCCAGCTGACGACCAAGGAACTGCGCATCCGAAATTGACGAAATCAGGTGCTATTGACAAGAGAAGAACCAAGAGATCGAAGCAAGATTTATCTACCGACGAACTCAACTCGATTGGCCCCCCTGCAGGCGGAAGACGGACTAGAAGCTCCAACTGTTAATAAGAACAGTCTTTTCTTGCTCTATTCATCAAGTGGGTATCATTTGGCAGACAGATCGCGGTCCATGCCCAGATCTACTTCTAGCACAACCTTTCCAAGCTCGGACAATGTCCTGATCGGCTCAACAAGACCAAACCTGAAAAAGTCATCCATGGTCTTCGGGTCTGTCCTCCACGCAAGGATCAAACTAGTCTCTTTCTCCCGACCAGGAAGACTTTCAATGTCCTTCAGTATCTCCTTCGCGAGCACCAGAGGCTCCCAGTCAGCTGACGGTGCGAGGTCGCTGTAAAAGTCGATTATCGACAATACCATCTGACACAGAGAGACCTGGTCCAGATTCTCCAGCAATTTGACGCTTTCAGGCGGAAACTTCTTCAGCGCAGCCATGTCTCTAGCAAGCTTGGTGAGCTTGCCAGGGTTGGGCGCCGTATTCGACAAAGCGATGGCAATGGCAGACAATCCCTTGAGTCTTGAGGGATGGAACGGCGCGACGTGTTTGAATGGTTCAATATCGTACGCGGACAAGCAAGCAATAGCAAGGGCGCACTCGTGGTTTCCCCGGTCCTTTCCAAAGTAGTACGCTGCCTCGTCTACCACCTGCGCAAATGGTTCAATAGCCCATTTGCCCGTGGTCACGAAATACGATCCAGTCTTGTACGCTTTCCTCAGCCACTCACGCTTCTCGTCGCGTGGCATGTCGCGCGGGAAGACGGGCATGATCTTTTGGATGTTCAAGCCCATCAATCCCTGTGGAGGATCGGTTTTGCCGCCGCCGGGTGGATTCTTGAACCGCTCGATGTCAGGCATGACGCTCATGCTGTTGAGGTCAATGGTCGGGTCGTTCATGGCGATTTGGTACTCGTCTAAATTATGCTCGCACTTATAGCAAGAACACTCGAAATGATAGAGGTCAAGCTCGCCCTGTCTCTTGCCCTTAGGTTGTGTGTGGTCTGGCATAGGTTACTAAGTGGCAATCACGAAACTGCGAGGGTCAAAAGCCAACTTACCGGCGTAAGAAATTTCAATTTCATCGCCAGGGTTGATGAACGTGGCTGATCGAAGTGTGGCAGTCCGTCCTCCAAACTGCACCATCGCGTTGGGCACACAGGAGTGATTGATCATGGCCAACGTCGTATCCAAGAAGACACCGCCCGTCTCATAGTACTCCTCCGTCCGACTGAAAGCGTTCGTCTGAAGCTACAGGATGTCAGTGCAACTCCTGTCCCCATCGAAAACGCCATTACCTTGCATAGAACCTGGAAAGACTCTTCTAGCCCCTTTAAAGTAATGGCATCAAGCCCACAGCACCTCAAAACCCCATGTGCCTGAAGCTGCAAGTCCATCTCGTCGTTCTTTCTCCACTCCTCGACGTGCCCCTCCAAAGCATCAAACGACTCCTTCAACTTCGGCCTCAGCATCACCTGCGCCCCGGCCCTGATGGGCGTGGGCACCCAATCGGGCTGATGGGCCGGCTTGACCTCATGCAGGAACTGGATTGCCTTGCACTCGACCTTGTGGATCAGCGTCCAGTTGGCCTTCTGACAGGCAGCGCCGCAGTAGGCGACTGTCTTGCAGCCCGTGCAAGCGCGCAGCTTTCCCACGCCCGCGTGGCCTTGCCTTTTCAGGCAGTGGTTGCAATACTCAAGCGCGCGGTGGCCTGGCGGGAGGACGACGGCCGGTTCGTCGAAGAGAGCAATAACGTCGCCCGGCTTGAAGCGGCGCGTCGCGTGTATGGAGCGGCCGCCTTTGGCACCGCCCTTGGAGCCACGGACTTCAATGCCGTCATTTACGGCAGGCATGATTGAGATTCTATACTGATATCATCAACAAAACGAGGTTTGAAGCTTTTCTGAAAAAAGCCTGGATGGCAGATTCCAGAGACATGCGATGTTTCCATGGAGCGCCACAAGCGTCCATATGTGGCTAGTGCCATCGACTGCCGATAAGCGATAAAAGCAGGCACCAGGTCAGCCCTGTGGCTGTGTGCTGCGTCCAGTGCCAGCAGGATCTCACCCGAGGACAACGGACTGGCAGATCACTGCTTGTGCACAGACTCCTCCATCACCCCGCCTTCTGCTCATCCCACCAACACCGTTTCTTAGTCTGGTCTCTCCTGCTGTTCTGAGCCTCAAAAAAAGCTGACAAGCTTCCCCCGCCCAAACGCGCATCCAAGCTCTGCCAAAAAAATCCCCACTCACTTTCCCCAAACCCGAAGAATAAAAAAATCACCACAACCAACGACTGCATTTGCGCATTCACACCCCAGCACTCAAAACACCCCCGTCTTTTAAATCCCAAGTCCAAACGCTACACGAGACACGCGCCTCTGATGACTACCATCGAAAACCTCAAGACAATCGACCCCTTCGCTGATGCCGAAGAGGGCGAGGGCAACAACAATCCCAAGAAAGGCCAGGACTACATCCACATCCGCATCCAGCAGCGCAATGGCCGCAAGACCCTCACCACCATCCAGGGTCTCCCCAAGCGCTTCGACCAGAAGAAGATCCTGAAGGTCATCAAGAAGAAGTTCGCCTGCAACGGTACCATCGTGGAGGACCAGGACCTCGGTGAGGTCATTCAGCTCCAGGGTGCGTCGCAAACCTTCCCCTCCATTCCCTCTTGACCCTCTCAACAGCTTCGCCGTAGCTTCCAATCCTTTTGCGCAAAGTCTAACTTACTTTTCCACTACAAAACAGGCGACCAGCGCAAGAACATTCACGATTTCCTCGTCGACAAGCAGGAGGGTCTCGAGATGGACTCCAAGGTAAGCACGCGACTCTGGACCCCACCTTCCCACTCTTGAACCCCTCCATGATCAATCACGAGATCCCGTTCCACCTCGCCACGCCTTGCCAGAGCCCAACGAAGATAGCGGCTAACCTCTTTTCCCGCTCTAGCTTGTCAAGGTCCACGGCTTCTAAAGAAGCCGTTACTGCCAGGAGGCGCCGTCTCCCCCTCGCAGCCGACCGGATTCCGGTATCCCCGAGCCGATACGAATATCGACCCCCCGTCTTCCAGCCTATGACATCGAGCTTCGTGAGGAAAGCCTGGGTGTCGCCTTGGAATATGGGCTCTGTGGTCCGAAAGTTCGGTTCTGGGGATGCGAGAGAATCTTAAAGGTGCCTGCGGGAGATCGAATCTCAATGGTCCTAGCACAATGGTGTTACTGGATTGGCGCTCCTAGGAACTGGCATGGGACTTGCGGTTCGGATGGGGTTGAGGTATCAATTTCTTTCATGATGATTCGCTGCTGCCCTGCTTGAAGACAGAGTCAGTGGCCAAACAATATCAGCTGGGGAGACTACAATCATCGGCCTTATGCTAGGTAATGGAATAAGAACCTCTACGAGTTTTACCCTCAATTCTGTCGGACAGGCAACATTGAGACATGTCCTCAATGTTCCATGATAACGCAAACCAGTTGTAAAGCCTACCAAGACCATGAGAAAAACTTCAAGGCATTTGTCACAGGCTACGGTTCTGCGGTCTTGTGTTGAATGCTGTGGCTTGATTCCCAAAAGTGCGCTACTTCAATTCCGTAACCTTCAATACTAATGACGCTAATGTATAAAACTTCTCTATCTGCCATGAGTCCCCCCAGTACGAAGACAGAGGCTTCTCTCAAAGCCATCATTGCAACGCTGTGGATTATCAATATGCCTTATCGCCATCCCACTGGGCAGCGAAAACAGTAACAGCGATGCAAAGAGCAAATGCAGCGTTGTAAGCAGTAGCCACTCCTCACTGCCTACCATTTTTCCAATAATCCAGTTGTTGACTCACTGACTTACCCCAATAATTCAGTTGTTCGAAAAATTCAAGGAAGTCCTCCCCTGATCTGAGAGGCTCGAAAGGCTCTTCGAAAAGTCTTGGTGGGGTTGAAGAGCGTCCGCCCGAGACCCGGAGTCGCGTCTCCGTAACTGGTTCCTTAGAGTGTCCGGGCGTTTGCCGGCGTCGTTGCTGTCGTCCTCGCCGCTGTCCCTGTTGACGCGCCCGTGCCCGTCCTCGTCCCGGTCCTCGCCAGATTCCTCGGGTATAGTACTCAAACGGGACTCGTCCGAAGAGGCATCATCAATAACATTGATGCCATGAATGCCTTTGATTTCACTGATCTTATCAGGCTCGTCAGACTGCTCGGAGGACCCATCATACTCGTCGTTGAAGTTGTCCGGAGTGAGTGTTGTGGTCCAGATCAAATGGCCGCGAGATGCTTGAGTGACGGGTGCTTGGGTACCGGCCGCTAGTCTACGAGAATCGTATTTCCTGTTATGCTCTTGAGAATCGTCTTTGCTATCCTTCGTCAAATACCCCGGGGATTTACTATTGCGTGCGTCTTCAAGCTCCGCTTTGAGCTTTTTGGCTTCCTTTTCTTTGGCTTCCTCTTCGAGTTCTCTCCGTATGCTTTCTGCCTCCTCGAGGCACATGAGGCACCTGCAGATATAGTTGGGAGTTGCCAGAAAGATTTCGTCGCCCTTTTTGAGGTCACGTGTGGCAAACATGTCGGGCCCACGGATCTCTGCGTTACATCGTGGATCGCCTCTGGAAACGCAATGGCTCTTGTCGGTCCATAACTTGAGGCCTATGACCCGGAAGCCCAAGGTGTTCATGAAACTGCAAAGTATTCCGTGGTCAAGAGCCGTGATCTTGTTCGGGTCAAGAGGCATGTATTTCATCACAGGAAAGTACTGTGCGCACTCTAGGCGCAATTTGACTGCATTTCCGCGCTCCTAGAAGCGGCAAAGCACATGGGTCTCCATTATAAGCTGGTCCTGGATGTAAAAGTACGGCCGGTTATCCTCGTTCAAGGTGGACATCATTTGCCCGGCCGAGTAGTCATCCGGTGAGTGACGTGCCCCGTGCTTAGGCTCGTCCAGAGACAGGAAGATTGAATTTGGCCTCCAGGGAGGCAGGGTGGTTGTCCATGGGCACTCTCCAAATGGTGGCGCCATTTCTGACGAGTCTACCGGTTCACGCTTTGGTAGCACCAGCGCTTTTCGGGCCGACGACGTTGGTGGCTCTGGCGTCGGTCGCTCTGGCGTTGGTCCCAAGGACGACAGGGAAGACGACGACGACGATGCCGCCGGCAACCGGGCTGACGACATTGGTCGCTCTGGCGTTGGTCCCAAGGACGACAGGGGCGACGACGACGACGCCGGCAACGCCGACAACGGTGGCGGCGCTGTTGGCATGGGTGGTCTTGGTTGCCCCGAGTTTCGCTGCTCTAAGATCATCGCCACGCGTTCAAGAAACCCTCCGACCAAAGTGGTATCCTGACTGGGATCAACAATCGCGTTTGGGTCCATTGTGTATAGGTCGATAGTAATTAAGGCAGAAGTAATGATCGATGGATATTGGCAGTGTTAGCGTTACGTCCAAGAAGAAGTCTGGGGGTGACGAGGACAGAAACGAGGAGAGAAACGGGGGAGGTTAAGACAGGGGTTTTGAAGTCACAGATCAAGGGATATGGCACCTGCCTGCAAGACCGGAGTGGAAAACGCCTTCTATGAACACATCCTACATGGCTGATGAGGAAGTCCACTGAATCTAGCTTCCTACCTTAACAGCGGCCCTTCCCTCTCTTGGCTCATCACTGTCGTGGTGTGGCAGGCACAACTTTAACGGGGCATGTCGGCCCCGCTCGCCAGTACTTCCACACATCATCGACCTTGCCAGAGAAATTGATCAGGTTGGAAGGAAGTCGAGACTCGCGACATCCTGGCGAGCAGTCAACGTAACAAATGAACTGAAAGCCTTGATTCAACCTCGGGTCGATCTATGTAACGGTATCATACAACACCACCCCTCGCTCATTCCCGCTTCTTCGCAAGCAGCTGGGCTTTCCGCTCCTCCTCGTCGAGATGTTGCTTCCTGTAGTGAGCAACAACGTGGTCCAGGTTGGTCTGGGAGCCAGCAACAATGTTGCGGGCGGCGTGACTCGACATGGCCCTGCGTAGAAAAGTTGTGTTAGCCGCACTGCATCCTCTGGGCTTTCCAAGCCAGTGTCCAGTCATATCATCGTGGTTCGGGAAGGCTCACTCAGGAAATCGGAGGTCGACGTCGCGGTTGGCCGGGGTGGAGAAGAAGAGCAACCTGTCGAAACCGGCCTGCTCAACGGCCTTGGTGTGAAGGTGGCTCCTTTCGGCCCATGTCTCCTGGTAGTGCCAGTACTCGTGGATCTTCTTGGTGAGGAATGGCGGCTCGCCGTCCTTGCCGGGCTGGCTGATCTTGTACATGAAGTACGCAGCGGGAATGACGGCAACGGTCGCCCAGAAGAAGTTCTACAACGCCAAAAACAGCTCCATTAGCTTCCAAACTCTCCGTATCGACGATCAATTGGCGCAAGAACGTACTCCGATGGGCTCCTCGACGTTGTGGGCGTGGTGGTGGCCGTGGTCGCCTCCGGAGGCGTATGATCGCGATTGGCGCAGCCCAGTCAGGCGGGACTGGCGCGCGATGCAGGCACCCCGCGTTCGAATGGCCTGCATCGTGAATGACGTTGCGGGACGGTGTCAATGGACGATAGGAATCGGGTTGTCGTGGGGATTGAGGAGGGAGCTTTCGGGTGTGGAGGTGATTCCCAAGGTTCGGTAGTCGGGGAGGAGCGTCACTTTTCGCGGTTTAGCGCCGCAGCGGCTGTGGCGGCTGTTTTGGCCAATCACGACTTGCCGAATTCAAATAAGAGAATCGCCTCTCAAAATGGGTACCACGGTCTTGAGCATGGGGCAATGAGACAACTTGGCCAGACGGATGAATTCGATGAATTTCTATTTCGTGATGGTAAACTGTCCTTTTTTTTCTGTTGACTCATTTTCGTTCATTAACCCAATTATAAGAGTGCATGTACTCGTCTGTCGCATCAGCATCTCAAACCCATCTTGGCTTTAGACTTTCGACACAAATCTTATTGAACTCACTGCCTTGTTGCCCGTGCCCACTGTTCTCATACAATAACACTGGGTCTCATCATCCCTCGCCGCAAACGGGGCGACAACGACGTTGACTGAAGAGGTCAACCTCTCTCCGGAATTACATATCGCAAAACCACAATTCACAAAATTCAAGATGGCATCAAGACCATCAATTCGCGCATCTTTCCTTCCTCTCACTATTTTCATGGTCGTCTTCGGCCTTCTCATCCTCGCACCCACAATCGCCGCTTCATCACACGTATCAGCGGCACCGGCAGCACCCTCACCATCGGCCGATGTCGAACTCATCTGCCACACCGACAACCCGGCGGAATGTTACCCCAAGATCTTCCAACCAACAGAGGAATTTCAAATAGTACATGATGACCAAGAGCTGCCTCATGGCCTCCACATCCGGATGAACATCAACACCAGCCAAAAGGAGGCCAAAATCAACGATCCCACTGAGAAGAACTCGGCGGTGGAGGGCCTGCCGGTCGATCGCTCGATTGTGGTTGTGGATGGCGAGGAGGTCCACGATGAACCGAGACTGCCCAAGGACGCTCCCAAGTACGACCCCGTCGGCGCCGTGAAGCAGCCCCCGCAGGAGTCAAGCGAGTTCTATTCCCATCTCGATTACGTCAAGAAAGGCGCGAACGGGGCCGACCTCCCTATCGACGAGGCTCTTGAGTTTCTCGAGGACATTTCTCACGACATTTACTACGGCATGAAAATCACTGAGACGTTTGACACCGTCAAGTATCTCCTCTGCCTCATGTCAGACCCCGAGACGCCCGCACCAATCGAGGGTGTCGTTCCCCGTGACCAGCAGGCCGCCTCCATCATCTCCGGCGCCCTGCAAAACAACCCCAAGGCTCTTGAGGAAGTGACCATGGTGTGGCCTCAGCTTATGGATGCTTCATGCCCCGCTACCGAGACTAAGGGAGCCTCCAAGCTCCGAGACGACTTCTACGCCTCCTTCGTGCCGGCCAAAGAGAGCAGGCACGATGTCCTCCGCGCCGCAAACAAGGCCAAGGCTCATGTCGCCGCTGTCAGAGGTCTTCTGAAGAGCCCTACGATCCGTGACGACTTCATCGCCAACAAAGGCATGGACCGCCTTCTCGAGGTACTCGCGCCTGAAGATGCCCGCTGGGATACCGCTCAGCGCAAGACCGGCCAGCTTGTCCTCGACAGCTTCCTCGACGAGAGCATGGGAGCCGATGTCGGCGTGTGGCCCCTGTTCAAGGCGTCTGAGACGGATGCATCCAAGAGAGTGGCTGATCGTGTGAGCGACGGCAACTGGAAGACGGCCGTGAAGGCCATCATGGAGAAGAATAAGGAAGACAAGAGCCATTGGAGCAAGGACCTGTATGACAGGTTGGATGCGCATGAGCAGACCCAGTTGAACAAGCTGGGAAAGCAGGAGTTGTAATGATTAGATGCACATATCACATTTTTAGACCCTATATACCCACGTTTTGACCATCAGACCATGGGTCTCGTCATGACCTGAGCAATGAAAGAATCTTCTCATCTGCGAATCTGCTTAGGGGAGAAAGAACTAGCGTAGGACATTCCCCGACCAGAAGGATGGGTTGCCGATGGAGCATCAACCTCTGCCATTCAAGCAATGGGGTTGACCTTCAAGACTGTGCAATCACCCCCGGCGGGTCTAGTCCATGTGGAGGGCTGAGATAGGCGAGTGACAGATTGCATCATGAGCGGGCCAGGTTTGGATTTTGTGCACCAAGCGGGGTTCTTTTTCAATGTCAAATGCAAGACAGAGCATTCAAGTAGTCACAGGGGAAGGCAGCGAGTGAGATTTTAGGCAGTTTTGGTATCTCCATATCGTTTATTTCATTCCCATTTTGAGGCTCAAACTTTTTAGCGGACAACGATGTTGTATTGAACTATCATTGCCCAAACAACATGATAGTGGCCTTGCCATGCTACCAAAACCATTTCCCGTTTCGCCTTGATGTCCGTTGAATGCAAGAACCTCCCAAAGACAGCCCACAACCATCCTCTTACTTGAGAGGAATGAAACGAGAAGAGTGAGTAGCACCGATACCGGGTCTACCGTGCTTGACAGGCTTGCTGTGAGATTGTTAGAAAACTGTTTCCGAAGTCCTTGCGCGGAGAGGAACGTACTAAGAGATAGAGAACTCAGCCAGGTAGTGGCCAACCATCTCAGGCTTGATCTCAACCTGGTTGAACTCCTTGCCGGAGTAGATACCAATGACGCTGCCAATCATCTCGGGGACGACGATCATGTCACGGAGGTGGGTCTTGACGAGGTCGGGCTTCTCGTTGGGCTTGGCCTCCTGCTTGGCCTTGCGGAGCTTCTTGATCAAGCCCATGGGGCGGCGCTTGAGACCGCGGTTGATGCGCCTGCGGGCACGGGCGTGGACGACATCGCGGAGCTGCTCGGAGTCGAGGTCAAGGAGACTGTGTGAGAGTGCATGTTAGCCTGGACGGTTCTGTGTCTTCGATGGCGGGTGCTTCGGCAGGTTCGTGGAATGGAAAGGCAGTGATGATCTCATCGTCGGGTCTCGAGGGATTCGATTGTGCGTGGGTGTGGACAGGCAGGTGGGATTTCTCAAGTGGGCAAAACGTACGCCTCAAGGTCAATTCCGCGGTAAGAGAACTTGCGGAACGCTCTTCTCTTCTTGATCTCGGCAGCCTCCTCGGCGTTCTGTATGGATCCCTCCAGTCAGCCAAAATTGTTCGATGCGGTTTGGTTGCGATGTGGTCTCGTCGCGCCACCATTTCCTCCTCAATCCGCAACCGCCACCGCCGCGACGGCGCGGTCTTTATCCATCGAAACCAGGGAGGGAAGACAGGGTCGCACGTACGTATTCGTCGTCAGCCATCTTTGTGGTGTTGTGAGGTCAGGGAATTCGCTGTCGATGCGGTCTATCGAGAGCGAATAAGCTGAAGTGCCGGTGCGGTTGTCGAAGTTTTGGGACACGGGGCTACGGTCGCTTGGAGGTTTCGCTTGACTTGCACCAATGGCCCAAATTTGGCCCGTAGGGTTCGGTTGCCCTCCCCCCGCAGTCATGTGATTTTTGAATCGAGAAAAAAAAAAATTGGCAGTCGCGCGGTACGTACCGCGTCAGCGGGCACACTGCACGCTCTTTCTCGAAGCGGACGCTCGGGCCCCCCGTCCACGCCGCGCTTCACCTGGCCGTCTGCCCGTTCTTTGACATCACCGTCCCGCCGTGCCCAGGTCCACCTCGCCGTTGGATGCCCTGAATTTTGCATCCACAACTGGCGAACGCCGGTCGGGTCGGTACGGTCGGTGAGCTCGGTGAAGAGCAGCGTCAGACCTCCACATATAAAGCAATTCTGACATACTCCTGCGCCATCACTATCTCCTATTGAGACCTGTGTCCAGAGAAAAGAAGCCGTATGAGAGATAACTTAGGGTAGGAACGACTTCATTTGACTCCAGAATGCCAAGTTTGCTTCCTGTGCGCGAGCCTGGGAAATGCAGCCCACACCATCTCTATGTCGCCTCGTTTGGTAATGTGTCCGCGATGAATAATAAGGAACTCGGGTTTTGGATATTGTTGATAAAATCATCTGTGTGACGAAGTAGTAACTCATGTATATTCGACGACGCTAGAAGTTTGGCGGTCGTGCTGCGACTCATGATAGCATCGGAAAGGGGCTGTGGGTTTCACTGGAAAGGCTTCTCGCTTCTCGCCTCTCGGCGTTCTAGTCTCTTAAGCTTGACCGGGAACGATAGGCGTTGACGGGAGGCAGCACTTTCCGCTGGTGACGAAAAAAGGTGAGAAGAGGCCGGCTTAAGGTGAAAGTTGCTGGAGCGACCACCTTCCTTTCCCAACATTCAATCTGCATCTCTTTCCCTCGCGACTCACCAAAGACTTACAGAAAGTTCACGAACGGGCATCATGGCATCTACCAAGGATAGCGGTCTCGACCAGCTTGGTGGTGGTTTTGTCGCGGATCATATGAAGACGACTATGCTAACAATTTCAGCCATGTTCGAGCTGCGCTTCAAGTACATCTGCACCATGCACAGCAAGGGCGAGACTGAAGCTGCAGAGACCAAGGCTCTGGAGCTTCTTGCTGAGCCGCGACTTGGACGTCTTCACAAGGCAGGAATGCACATGAGACTTGCCACATCTGAGACCGACTTCGTTCATCACAGACTTAAAGCTGTGAGACTCTTCGGTGAGGCCCTCCAGGGAGAGATGACTGCGTCCCAGCGAGCCTCTTTGGAGTACTGGCATCCTGAGGCCAAGAAGTTGCTGGAGGAGGCTCGCAGCGATCAGAGTGCTATTACCCGCGAAATCAACAAGAAACTGTAAGTGACTGTCCCCGTCCCTCTCCGTCTCCGTCCTTGTCCGTCCTCGTCCTTCTCTGCCACTGTCTTACTCTATGTCACTACTACTATCACCGTCTTCCCTGGCCTCTGCCCCCGTTCTTCGTTCATTCGCTGACCTATACCCAGCGAGAGTGGCATGACTATGGGCCAAATCCAGGACGCTCAGCTTAGTGAAATGTACGACCGCCTGCGGGCAGATGCTGAGGCCGAGGGCGAGTCTTCGGCGCCTCCATCCAGCCAAATCCCTGGTTTGACCGACGAGTCTCAGCCGACCACAGTCGACGACCCCTCGCAGCGCATTGACGACCTTCCGGGAGTGGAAGTGATGGAGACCAGCTCCCCTCCTGCTGATCTCATGGATCGTGATACCGACAAGCAGGACCCTCAAGGTTCTTTGTAGGCGGTCTCAAGATTGAAGAAGGAGTGCGGGCAGGGATCGGAACGGGGGCGGGAAATAAGAGGCAGCTACCATGAGCGGCGAATGGTAGACTTATGTGTGCACGTTAGCGAGACGTCGCCGCAGCTGGAAGACCTTGCGGAACTATCAGATAGCCAACGCATGCCTGAGGGCAGTTCTACAGCGGCGGCGGCGCGCCGCGGCCGTAGAGAACATACATAGAAATGAAGATGCAATATTGCTTGGGCCTTGTCTGGTCGTTTCGTAGCTGGAATTATCATATGCATCCAGGTACTGCCAGCGCCGTACCCTTCTTCCGCCTAATGTACCCTAACATTTTAGAGATTAGTAGGGACTGCAGAGACGACAGGGACGGCAGGGACGACAGGGCTATTTTTATATATATAATAAAAGCACTACAGGCTATTAGTTTAATCTGAAGGATAAATTCATCTGAGGGGAGTCTAGTGAGGGCGACTTGAATAACCCCACGAAGTGAAATCTGTTTTGGGATCTGCTGCCTTGCAAGGGGTCTAAAGGGAAGTGTTTAGACCGATTTGATCAATCTCGTTATGCGATGTAAGGGGAAGGCATTGGGCTGTGCATGACTCCGCTTGTAAGTATCGGCTGACATTCGCGGCGAATATGTATTTATGTACGGCCATAGGTCTTAAACCATGGCTCAGCTAGATATATACGAGAAACACTCCAAAACTATTTACTCATCGAACAAAGCTATGTACCTGTTTTTCTTGCGGGGTCAGTGACAGCCTGCGGGTGGCGGCGGGCGGTGCGTTTCTCCACGACATAGATGTGCACCAACCTCAAAACCCATAGCGGTCGCCAACGACCAAGCCACGCCCTTCTCCCACGATTCTTTTATGAAGTCGGTTGGGTATCTGCCCTTCTGGGCTCATCTAAATGCTCTTGAAGACGTCCAGACTCGACAGTGCGGTGCCGGGCCATGCAAACATTGTGTTTGAGGTGCAACTTGAGCCAAGTGCTTGGTTGTCAACCCCTGCATCAAGTCAGTCAGTATAGCTTCATTAAAGAAGCAATTAGGGGTTCTCACATCCAGCCTCCCAATAGTACAAACCAGTTCCCTTGCTAACTCCTGCAACAACTGCAGCAAGTCTCTTCATAAAGGTCGTCTGTCCATCCGCAGAGAAGGGAATGTCCTTCAGGTCGCTCGGGAAGGCGTACTTCGGGCTCGGGCACGATGTAGGCCAGTTCGTCTCGGCAACGACAATCTCCTTGCCCCACTTGCTCGCCATGTTGGTCAAGCTGGTCTTGAGGGAGGCCAGAGTGGCGGCGCTGTTGTAGAAGGGGTAGTACGAGACACCCATCATGTCGAAGTTGGCGAGCGTCAGCTGGTTCTGGGCAAGCATGTTGGTGTACCACGTGTTCTGCGTGTTCCAGTCCCAGCCGTTGTCGAGGTGGATCATGATCTTGGACTTGGGGCTGAGGGTCGAGTCCTTGATGCCAAAGGCGGCCGAGTTGAGCAGGCGGGCGACGTTGTACATGTTGGACGTGCGGCCCGTCTCGAAGAGCAGACCGGCGCGGATCTCGTTGCCGATGCTGATGATGGCCGGGGGCACGCCGGCGCTCTGGAAGGCGTTGCTGACCTGCAGCGTGTAGTTGTACAGGCGCCAGCTGAGGTTCTCGATGTCGGTGGGCCAGCCGGACGGGATGCCCTGCTTGCTCGGGTCCGCCCAGGTGTCGCTGAAGTGCAGCGTGAGGTAGACGGAGAGGCCCTGGGCCTTGGCCCGCTTGGCGAGGGCGAGGTTGTAGTCGAGGTTGTAGTCGCCGTTGGAGGGGTTGACCCAGACGCGCTGGCGGACCGAGTTGACGCCGGCGCCCTTGAGGACGACCTCGAGCGACTGCGAAGCGCCGGCCGAGTTCTTGTAGTTGATGCCGGCCTTCTCCTCGATGGTGACCGAGGACCAGTCGGCGCCCTTGTAGGTCAGGGCGGCGTTGGCCGCGGAGACGGCGAGGAGGAAGACGGAGGCTACGGAGGCGAGCATCTTGGCGAGCTTGTCCTTTCGGATCGGAGATCGGATCTGCTCTGGGGTATCCGCTGGGCAAAGCGAGAAGACAAAAAAAGGGGGGAAGACGAACTGGAAGAGAGACGAAGAGGAAGTCTTCGCCTTTCGTCTGGTCTTCAGCAGTGGTATGTATATACAGCAGTTCAGGACTCGCCATCAACACCAAGCGCCATCATCCCCTTTCACCCCTTCATCTCCCTTATTGATGGGATCCCAAGAACTCCATCAGGGCCTTTCTCCATCTTTCCCGAACTACCGGAGCAATCATGGCAAACTGCAACTCATCAGCTAGGCGCCTCGACGGGGAGCGGGAAGGCGTGTAACCCAGTTTCTCGTATAGCAACCGCCATCCCTGTCGATATGTCGACCGTCAGAGTGACAGACAGAGGAGTTGACAGGCATCCCTCTGCTTCAGACATATTGCCCGCAGCTTTAACGAGCAACACCGGACTGCTGACCACACGCAAAGGAGTCTAGCTCCCGCCTGCCAGCGAGCAGCGGCACTACCGCCATCAGGAAAACCCAACTTTGACAGTCAAACAGGCGCTGACGTCCGCTTGAACCACAGTGGAGTCGGTCGACGACTTGCTCAGCCGGCTTGACGTTTCATCGCGCTACCTCCTGGGAGGAGTGCCCATGAGGAACATCTCGACTCCTCCAATCAGCAGAATGTTTCTCCACAGTTTGCTGCCGTTCCTGGAGACTTGGCGAACGCTCTTTGGGAATTCCTGCCAACACCCTCCCCCTTTTCCGCTCTCCTCGTTGGCTGTCATGAGGCTGGTCCCCGTAGGACGAATCGCGATTTCCTCAGGGTAAACAGCCTCCCTGGTCAATAACCGACGTGCTGTGCCCGTATTGCGGTGCAAGACCGTCCGATGTTTAATCTATGTGCCGTTGGTCTTGGTCGTCCAAGAACCCCGGTTAGAAAGAGAGGAGCGGAAAGCGGGCCAATATCGAATGCAGAGCGAAAAAGGACCGAGCTTACCGGGGGTGGAGGAGCACGCTGCCGGAATTGGAGGTCCAGCGTTGGGGGCTATTCCGAGCTGCGGCCCGTTTCAGTTTTCCTGGGCAGCCATTTTGTGCTGATGGTCCTTTTTTATCTTTAAAATGACGGCAGACCGGCGCCGGTTGTTTTGAGAATGCAAGCGAAGGGGCGTGGTGTTGAATTAAGGTAGATCGGGGCCTTTGATCCGAACTTGAGCAGCACACGGATAACCGAACCTCTCGCGTGGTTTCCAGGCTTTTTATTTCCCGTTCTGATAGGTATTCTGATATCGTTGTGCCTTATCAATTCTCCGTGTTATCGGCCGTGATAGAGGCTCTTCTTTCCCCACATCACCATCACCGGCTCCCGCCCTCCAAAAAAACAAATCGTTTCAAGATCACAACTCGGCGGGGTCGCAACAGAGTTGACGACTTGATTCATGACTCTCGTCAGTAGAGTTTGCGCGCTGCAGTAGTTTTCTTGGTACGGCCCCCATAACGACAACACACTCGTGCTTTCTTACCCCAGAGTTGCACCAGGAACTATATTTCCCACCCATGATCATCCTCGACAAGGGGGGAAACTATTGATTGCTAATACTTATTCAACCCACCACACACGCTACCGGCTACACAACGCCCAACAACGACACATGACCACGGCCGCAAACGCCGTGTGCAGCAAAGCGCGAACACCAATACTCCGCCGAACTAAACCGTCAATTCTCACGATGGGCCGAAACCCCATGCGCACCAATCAAATGCACACGAGACTAAGTCTCGCAGTTCAAAAGTCTCTAGAAACAAACATTTTCTAGAAACACTGTCAGCAAAGATGTGCCGAGCACGATGCACCAATCACGCACACGATCCCGCATCCCTCCGGTTCGCAGCACGGCGCCCAATTCACCAGCCCATCAGCAACACTTCCCCAGCTGAGAAACCTCGCGAGTAATGATAGGCTCGTGGTGGCCGCTTCAGGGTTCGCAGGTTCTCTGGTTGGGCTGCGGCAACGACTGGACGCGACGGACGCCTGAAGTAGTCTGAACACCTCGCACAATCTCGCCTTTTCCACGACACAGAACTCAAATACCGTCCAGCCCTTCAAAACTTGCCTCAATGTCAAGAAATGTTTATCATTGACAAAGGGCTGACTACCTACTTACCGTTCGCGCCCAAAAAAACGCAAAATGCGAACAGTCCATTCGGATCTGTGATACGCCAACGGGACGTCAACTTTAACGGCAAAGCTCTACAGAAGCCTGCCGGATGGAATGCAACTCAAAAAAGAGTGCTGACGCGAGCATCGCCACCAACATCACCAGCGTAGATATTTACATCAATCGGCGCTCGGTAGGTTCGTGACCGTGAAGAACAAAAACCAAAGTCACATGCCACCTCAGTCAGATATCAAGCTTTCTTGCAAAGGAACATGTCAGTCCAGGTCAGCTTCCCCAATTCGTCTGACAGGGCCGTCAGGGTGCAGTTCCCAAAGAGCAATTCTCTCGCGGGGGGCGGTGCTATTCCCAAACTGCACACATTAGAAAAGAGTTTCGAACCGAAGCACACGAGCCAACCCACCTCCCTCCTCCCCCAGCTCCCGAACGACACGAGGCAACCTCCCACACGGGCGGGTTCACATGCCGAGTCAAAACCCGTTCTCAAACCCCCTCCCCCAACCCCAAATCCCTATTGCAAGTAGGCTTTTGCTTCGGGCACCTCGGGCGGCAACGACAATCCTAAAAGCTTTTGCCTTTTTTTGACGGTAAGATGTCCGCCGTAAGCAGGCCTTGGCAGTTCCTGTCAAAACTGCCACCGAATGAGGTAATCTCATCGGGGAACTCGGGGAGGGCAATGCCACCCGGGGACTAAGGATTACGGCGCCGGCAGATCCTCCCGCTCCGTTCCTTCGTGCCCAACTCTTATTTAGACTTCAAAGCGTACGCGTCCCCCATAGGATGGCACAATACAGAG